AGTAAAAAATGATGTTATAGTTCATATCAAATTTTTTGGTTTTCTAGTTACTAGAATTAAAATAGAAAATATTTATTATTGCAAAAATATGTGTAGACAAATTTTTACGATACTTTTACTTCAAACTATTTACACGATAACATTGTCTCACTGTGTTTCACTCAACACGTTTCTACTTTTCTTAATTATTTCTATTAATTATATAATTCTTTTAATATTTTAACATTTTAGCATTACAAAGAAATAGCGTCGTGAACAACTGACAATTGTAAGATTACTGACAATTTTTCTATTCTCTGCTTTCAAATCGAAAAATCGATAAATAAGAAATAAGAAAAGAAAATATATGAATGAATATTTATCTTTTATGGAGAATCATTTAGTAAAGAGCGAAAATCGATTGCAATTTATCGTAATTATTGGACATTATATAATCTGTTACTATAGACAGCCTATATTATGAAAATACAAGACGGAAAAATAATGGTGTAAATAATACATTAAGCCAAGATGCAGTCAAATTATCTTTCGAATTCTACACTGCAGTCGATATCTAACCAGGAACATGGATGTTTTCGACAAACAATATCGTATCTATCGTATAATATTAAAAATTGTAGGATTGTGGCCATACGATAAATCAATCTTTGTATGGATTCAAAGAACATGTTTCTTACTGTATTTTCTTATCGGTATAATATTTCAGGTAATAGAAATTTTATTATTATTTCTTATCAATAATAATTTTATACGTTTTTTTCAACATATTGATCCAAAAATTGCTAATTTTATTAATATTAGAATATTATAGATAAATTTAAAATATTTTATTTTCTATAATAATATTACGAAAATTATTTTATTTAAATAGTCAAAGAAATTAATAAATATATTAAAAAAATTATTTTCTTTAATATTTAAAGATTATAAAAATATTCTTTTCTTCGATGTTTAATCCTAATTTAAATATAATAAATTAAATGTTTTAGATTATCGTGCTTCTAAACTCTGAAATTACATTACGAAATTATGTTGTTACGTTGTCTGCAATTTTTCCTTTACTGCTATTTTTTTTACGATATATTTATTATATTACAATTTTTCCATACGTAAGTGAAATTCAAAAAATAAAATTATATAAATTATTGAATATTTATATATGTGTACGTTTCTATTTTTGTACAGCTACAACATTTATTCGATTACATACGTACAGAAGAACATCTGTTACAAGACACGATAGAAATACAAATACAAACGAAATATCTCGATATTTCTAGTCATATCATCCATATTTTTTGTTGTAAGTAATCACTTTATGCACGTTAATCGGTAAAATATAAATAACTTTCATTGTCATTGTGATGTTGTCTACTTAAATATAATTATATATCTATTATAAAAAAGTAACATGAAATAAAAATATTAAGAAATATTCTACAACATTTTACAATTTTCAATATATTAATTAATTTTTATAATTACTGTCTTGCTTTTTATTATATAACATTTTTCTGAAAATGTTACAGTTTTTTTTCTCAAAATAGAAATAATTTAAAAAATACGACATTATTTGTATGTGTCTCTAAAATATTAAATAACACTTTCAAATTTTAGGCGTGACTTTCGCTTTTATTGTAGCGACTATCATATTCCTAGTAAATCCTGTAATACTGGATCTAATAATGCCTTTAAACGAATCTCGCGCTCATTTCAATGTTTCATTTATTTTCGGCGATCAAAACGCATATATTAAAATCTTTTTAAGCTTAAATTTCATGTTAAATCTATTATTCGGATTATTATCTATAACGGGTACAGAATCGTTTTGTAATATTTTGAGTTACTATATATGCAGACGATTTAATATCGCCAGGTAAGTTATTTCATTATGTTGCATTTATTTTTATCCATGTTAATATTCTGAATTTTTTTTAGTTATCGAATACGAAAGATAATTGAGGATCTGAGTATGCCCAATCTGCCTAAGATAGACTTGAAACTTACAGACATACATCGAATAGTGGACATTCATTGCCATGCTCTCGAGTTGGTAAATTAAAAAAATTAAATTATTATGGTAAATAATATTAATAATAATAATTTTTTAAATAATATTGATTTTTCATGTATCTTATATTATCGTACTTGGAAGGCATATCAATATAGCCTCAAATAATGCAGCGACACAATATCTGGTGGCAATTGTTGTATGCATATTCTCATTCTCTATAAATCTTTATCGCGTAAGTATTTTTAATGAAGATTTATTCATTTTATTTGAATCACAGAATTTCTTACATGTTCAGAATCTTCAATATACCACTGTAAACGGAATTTAATTTGAAATTCAGGTAAATTTTATTAAAATTATGAAAAATTTAAATCGTTATAATTGCGAATTGTTGAATAATTCTCAATAGAATAGAAGATCATTAAAACCGCGGAAACTTGTAATTCAAAACACTTGTTAATAATATATCCTGATATAGCTTTCAGTTTGTAAAAGTATCGTTTACTATTTATTTTTTTGTCTCTTGTTCGGATTTCTCCTTCTTTATCTCACTATTTCAAATTTTTGACAAATAACAGATGCTATTCTGAAAAACATAATACGCGATTCTTGGAAAAAAATATATTATGTGATCGCGAACGTATTCATAATCTTTATGAAACGCTAAGTGAAATGCAACGGATATTTTAACTTATATTTCGACAATCGATTGAGATATCAAGAAAAATCAAAATGATTTAAATGATATAGTTTTGTCTATTTTTTAAATGAACTTTGATGATCCTTTCGATTAAATTTTTGATTTTTTTTTTTTGCTTTTTATATGAAATTATTAAAGTTGAAGTGTACAATAATCTATCATTTTTATATAAGGATATCATTTAATATAATATAATATAATATATCATATCCCTTATATATTATACTAGAATTGCATTTTCCAGATTGATACTGAAAATATGAAAT